GTGTTAGGAAGGCCAACCTCTTTTACATTGCTTTATTTATTGATATAATTTAATTTTAGGCAGTCATAGCCTACTGCCAGTACCATCTTAATTGTGCTGATATGTGGGCATATTTAAAGTTTAACATTACATTAACATTATATTATTGTTAACTTAGAATTATATGACAGTGCATCACAGACGATGTTGTAGAGTAACACAACAGTAATATAATGAGTAGTGTACCCAATTACTTTCTACTCACAGCAATTAAGTCAAGTATTGCATTATTTATGTACAGTACAGGCCAAAAGTTTGGACACACCTTCTCATTCAATGCGTTTTCTTTATTTTCATGACTATTTACATTGTAGATTCTCACTGAAGGCATCAAAACTATGAATGAACACGTGGAGTTATGTACTTAACAAAAAAAGGTGAAATAACTGAAAACATGTTTTATATTCTAGTTTCTTCAAAATATCCACCCTTTGCTCTGATTACTGCTTTGCACACTCTTGGCATTCTCTCCATGAGCTTCAAGAGGTAGTCACCTGAAATGGTTTTCCAACAGTCTTGAAGAAGTTCCCAGAGGTGTTTAGCACTTGTTGGCCCCTTTGCCTTCACTCTGCGGTCCAGCTCACCCCAAACCATCTCGATTGGGTTCAGGTCCGGTGACTGTGGAGGCCAGGTCATCTGCCGCAGCACTCCATCACTCTCCTTCTTGGTCAAATAGCCCTTACACAGCCTGGAGGTGTGTTTGGGGTCATTGTCCTGTTGAAAAATAAATGATCGTCCAACTAAACGCAAACCGGATGGGATGGCATGTCGCTGCAGGATGCTGTGGTAGCCATGCTGGTTCAGTGTGCCTTCAATTTTGAATAAATCCCCAACAGTGTCACCAGCAAAACACCCCCACACCATCACACCTCCTCCTCCATGCTTCACAGTGGGAACCAGGCATGTGGAATCCATCCGTTCACCTTTTCTGCGTCTCACAAAGACACGGCGGTTGGAACCAAAGATCTCAAATTTGGACTCATCAGACCAAAGCACAGATTTCCACTGGTCTAATGTCCATTCCTTGTGTTTCTTGGCCCAAACAAATCTCTTCTGCTTGTTGCCTCTCCTTAGCAGTGGTTTTCTAGCAGCTATTTGACCATGAAGGCCTGATTGGCGCAGTCTCCTCTTAACAGTTGTTCTAGAGATGGGTCTGCTGCTAGAACTCTGTGTGGCATTCATCTGGTCTCTGATCTGAGCTGCTGTTAACTTGCGATTTCTGAGGCTGGTGACTCGGATGAACTTATCTTCAGAAGCAGAGGTGACTCTTGGTCTTCCTTTCCTGGGTCGGTCCTCATGTGTGCCAGTTTCGTTGTAGCGCTTGATGGTTTTTGCGACTCCACTTGGGGACACATTTAAAGTTTTTGCAATTTTCCGGATTGACTGACCTTCATTTCTTAAAGTAATGATGGCCACTGGTTTTTCTTTAGTTAGCTGATTGGTTCTTGCCATAATATGAATTTTAACAGTTGTCCAATAGGGCTGTCGGCTGTGTATTAACCTGACTTCTGCACAACACAACTGATGGTCCCAACCCCATTGATAAAGCAAGAAATTCCACTAATTAACCCTGATAAGGCACACCTGTGAAGTGGAAACCATTTCAGGTGACTACCTCTTGAAGCTCATGGAGAGAATGCCAAGAGTGTGCAAAGCAGTAATCAGAGCAAAGGGTGGCTATTTTGAAGAAACTAGAATATAAAACATGTTTTCAGTTATTTCACCTTTTTTTGTTAAGTACATAACTCCACATGTGTTCATTCATAGTTTTGATGCCTTCAGTGAGAATCTACAATGTAAATTGTCATGAAAATAAAGAAAACGCTTTGAATGAGAAGGTGTGTCCAAACTTTTGGCCTGTACTGTATATAAGTAAAGAGTAATGCGTTTTGCATTGCTTGTTTTGAGTAATAATCCCAACACTGCTGGTAGAGCCCTCTAATGTGTACTGTGGCACTGACATTCTTCATGCACATGCTTAGCCAACCCATATGCATGAAGAAAATTACTCCTGCACACTGTCTAACTTGCAAAAATAATTATTTTATCGCTGCTGCAACGTTTCATTCATCCATCTGATGAAGGTCTAGTCACCGAAAATGTCTTTTCTGCAAGTTTTGTTCTTCTCGTCCCTCTCCTACGCACCTGTTTGAAAATAGATGTGTGAAGTATTCCTTCATTTTGACTAGCCAAATGCACCAATTTAAGTACACTGGGGTTCTCCCTAGTAAAGCAGCAATTGTTCTTATCCACTAATCAACAAGCTATGTGTGAGGTGAAAAACTGACTAAAGTCAGAATCAAGATAATTGTTTTCTATCATTTTGAATCAATTCCAAAATTCAAATTTTTGGTTCATTACCATTTCTCTCCCCAGATAAGCTATACTGATACAACAGAAAAGAGAGAAGTCTGTGCTGCGAACAGTCAAACAGTCAAGTGTAGGTGATGTAATGGAGGAGAAAAGTAGTTTAACCAGACAGTTATTTTTAGACGCTTGACATGACTCACTATATGCAGTGTTAAGGAGCATTCTTTCCAAGCTGTTACTGCAGTGCATTGTTCGCCAATACAGGAAGTACTTACTCATACTCCATTTGCACAGCATGAATTAATAAGTAAATAATAATATGTTTTTGGTATTTAATTAGAGGATAGGTTCACAGTTTCTTTAGTCTGCTTTAAAACTGTAGTCAGTAGTCGTCCTCATGAACAACTGGTTCGTCTTACTGTAATTATTTCTCCTTTTCAAACCGGCCCTGAAGAGATCAGTTCTTAAATCAATTTCAGTCTAAGTGATGGGGAACTAAATCGACAGTCCTTTTTCTGTGTAAAAATACATTCCAAAGTTTAAACGAAGATCTTTGTGTCATTGTCACTTCATTGCACCTCAGCGAGGACAGGCTGTCTGGGGAAATCTGTGCTAAAAAGAGTGTAACATTCAAGAATATATACTTGTCAAATTGTTGAAGCCTCATATTAACATTTTAACATGGAAGGAGGACTGTGGATTTTGGTGCACTATGAAGGAATCTCTTAAGAACCAGTAGGAAGGATTCCAGCAGGCAAAACCTGTTTTGGTGTTCATATGGGGATTTTTCTAGTGTTTGCAGACTTTAAAAAAAAGGGAACTTATTCTTACAATACTCTACTGCAAGGAGTTACTGGTTGACATAATCATTCCTCTTCTCCAAATTGGTCATAAAAAGTTTTTTAGAGGATGATTTCAATGTCAGAGATGGGAGTCATCAGCCAAAGTTAATATAAGGCTATATATTCCAAAGTTGTTTCCCTGGATAGTGTTTCCTCACTAAGATGTGGTCCAGGTACAGTAACACAGAGAGTAAAATGTAAAATGTGTCCCCAAAATTGTGGGAGATCTCTTTATGGCCAGTACGGAAAAAGGAAAAACAGCAACTCATAACTTGAAATGTGCAAATGTGCATATGCAACCCAATCACAAGAAAAAATGTTGGTATTGTACATTTCTGCAAACCCTGGATACATTACATTTGCACGTTATTATGTAGTGGATACATTTAAACTTTTCATATCAACAAAACTGTGGTTGTTGTATGGTTAGGTTTAGGCAAAAAGTCAGGTTGGTTATGGTTAGGTAAAGATTATGCTTTGATTTAAAACAGCCGCTTTTAGGAGCACAATCCCGGCAGGAAAAGCAGTGATTTTTTTGGTTAAAAACAACCACTTTTCATGCCACTACATTGGCAGAAAATGCAGCAATATTTCTGTAAAAAGACAACAGCTTTTCATTGCACTATCTGCACTGATGGTTCACTACAAAACATCTATGTTTGGAGTCTAAAGGGCCACTGTAAAAGCACTGACTGGTGGCTACAAAACATCCAAGTTTGGAGCCTGAAAAGCAACTGGAAAAACATAAAACACCAAAACATCCTGGAACCAGTACATTGATTGCAGTAAGATCCCAAGTTAGACGATACATTTTGGGCACATGCACATAATTTTATCCACACACTAAAAGAGTTTAAGTGTGACTCGATTAGTTGATTGATTAGTAAAGTACACAAGCCTTTAATGGCTTCCAAATGCATCGATAACCGGGGTGATTAATTTAAAAGAGTGGCATTTACATCCTCAGTCAAGTTTAAGCATAAACAAATCCAGTGTGTCTACAGGGCTGCTAACATTGATTCATTCTACTTGTAAATAATTTAGCAGAAACTTGTTACTTCTGGTGTTAGTGGAGCAATATATTTAAAGTATAAGTAGAAAACTACAAGTCTTATTTTACTTTATGTGACATCATAGTCCAGGAAAACGGAAGTCAATCGGCTTGAAAGCATGGACCTGAGTCTGGGTTATCCAAGTTATTCATGAGATCCCCCTCACCTGTTTAAATATTCCTCCAAATGTGCCCACCTGCAGCTCTAATACTAAATATGTTGGTAAGATGGCCAAGAGCGCAGCACAACCAAATGTAGTCCGCTATTCATGAGCTGTGAATTGTGAGATGAGAAGCACTTAACAATGATGGGTGAGCTTCCCACACACACTGAGAGCACTTGCACCTCTCCTATGTTCAAGTGCACTACCACACACGCAGACGCACGCATTAGACACCGTGACAGGTATCGTCACTCAAAGGTCTCTCTCAAGCCCCCGTGCTTGAAGTTCTGAGATCATTTTATTGGTCATTTGAAATTAGAGAATCAGTGCTCATGAAGCCATCTTGGCTGAGAAGGAAAGCAAAGGCGTCTTCACACCTGTCTGAAGATGAATCACAAGGTAGCCCAAGGGCATTCTCTTGCCGCACCAATGAGTATTGGGCAGCAAAGGTAATAGGGGCATAGGAAATAATTGAGAAATAGCAGGGTGGGAAAGACAATAGGAGATAAAAAGACAGAAAGGAAAGGAGTTGAAGACAGATGGAAGGATGGAAGGAAGAGAGAGGGAGGGACAGAGAAAATGAAAATCACTCACTTGGAGCAGAGCCTTCTTAATTACTCTCCCCACATCCTGTCTCCACTCGGGTATGTCAGGGTTGAACTCGTCCAGATTAGGGGAGAAAGATAAAAGTAGAGATTTGAAGAATTCTGTCGAAGAGAGTCAGGGGAGAATCAGCCATTAATTCACTCGGATCCGGGGGCATTATTCTCAGGGAGCCGTGCCAACTGTCATTTTGTTCAAGTTGAGTTTCAGGTAGTTAACACTTGATGAAAAGAAGAGGGTTTCTCATATCCCCTGCACTTCCCTTTGGCTAAATGTACCAGATGCACTTCTAGATAATTAGAAAATGTCACAGCTTTATGCCAACCCATCCACTGGTAATAAATCATTGCATTTTACAGATACTTGCTGCCGGATTACTTCATTTCAAATGAAGACATATTCTTTAGAGATTCTAACAGTAATGTGATATATTTTCCTCAAGTAGGAGCAATTTCATTTCAAAAACATTTTACACACGGCAGTCAGAATATGACAGTATAACAAATGATATAGTCTGCAAGATTTAACTACTTTCCATGAAACTGCAATTTTTTTTAAACACATTGAAAACTAAAGAGATGCCAGCAGCACAACAGACTCCTTCACAATACTGACCTTTGACTGCTATGGTCTTGGTATCTTGCAGTATGGTGTTGGATGCAGCCACTTGGACTGTGATGGTGTGCATGCCGTCGGTGGGGAAGATGTGTGAGATACTCCCATCCAGTGTTATCACGGGCTGCAAGCGCAAAAGGTACAGGTGCTAAATAATGTCACCCTTCTCAAGCATGTGGAGCAAGCTTCATTCACCAGGCATTTTCTGCTATTTTGCCTTCATCAGGGTGGTGTCTGAGGTTGACTCCGGTTTCTTTGTATTTAGTCCATCCATCAGTGGTGTGATTTATAGATGATCAAAAACAGGGATGTGTTTGAGAGTAATATGGAGTTTGGTTCAAGTAGGGGTGTGTTAGGGTCAACTGTCAGCCCTTTTTACTCAAGTATCCCGTGAGAGAGCTGCAGTTTAGACCCTTAATTTTGCCACCTTTGCTTTTTTACACAGAAACAAACAATTCAGGCATAATACTGCCTCAGTGTGTGGTTTTAGATAGCATGCCAGAGTTCCTGAAGCAAAAGAGGCATGACAGGTGTGACATGTAACAACATCTATCTCTTGTGTGATGTATAACATATGTGTCGGCATCGCTTTGTAAACAATAACGATGGAATAACATGGCAGTAACAATCATTTACCATCCCTCTCATACGGCAGTTGATCTCGTCCCCTGCTCAGATGGTAAGAATTTCACGGATAATATTGTCCTGCGATTTGCAGATATTTTCAGCCACTGTTCTTCTTCTTTGAGTTAGCTGCTAACTGCTTCTGGCTGCTTTTTAAATCTCCTAATGGAGGGTCACACACATTACTCGTCATCAAAATGTCAAACCAGTCCAGTCCTGGTGGATGTCCCTTTTACACAGATGCAGATTCAGTGCTGTTACTACCTTCCTTAAAGGCGAGACAACTTTCTCCCCCAGTTCTACAATTAATTTTAATCTTTTATGACAAAATAGTGAGGTGGAATAACAGTGTGATATTCTTGTGGCTGTAGATTGACTTCAAAATTAGTTAGGGTTTCCCATAAGTATGAGGGAAGAAATAAATTTGAAAATACAGCTTTTTAGACATGCTAGCAGTATAGCTATTGAGATGGCAGTGTCGGTCTGTCAGTCCATCACTTTGGTCCAGACTGAGATATCTCAACAACTATTAATTGGATTGCCATGAATATATAGACATGTACTGACAATTATGTTACAATAGGATGAAGCCCACTGACTAATCCCCTAAATGTCCCTGTAGCATCACAAAGAAAAGATTTGCAGTGAGCTGTTCTCCTGACTTAACAAAAGTAATGCACCAAAACTTAAATATAAACCATGTAATGCTGAGTCAGTAAGTTGAGTATAACCCATACTGGTGTCGTTGGTGGATGGGTCAAACAACACAGGACTTTTCCCCATGAGATAGGTTTTCAGAACTGTGTGAAATCAGGTGAACTTTGAGTTATGTTAAGGTATGATGTCACCATGTTTCTAGCCTACATAGCTTTACATTAAGTAGGTAACGTCATTTGTGAGGTGCTAAATCAATAGATATCATACGTACTGTTGTATAAGATAGGTTGAGGATGCAGGTGAAGGTGGAAAGCAGCTGCTTGTGGTGGTGTAAGGTAGTGTAGGGTCAGAAGTAGCAGTAACCCATGGCAGCAGCCACAGTGGCACCTGCTTGTTGTTTTAAAGCACCTTTGTTCTTGATGATAAGGTCATCAGAAAAATGAGCTTGAAAGAGTGTTGTGATGTTTTAGTCACAGGACTGACTGAAGCAAACTGGATGCAACCTTAGACATCCTGACAAAGGCAAGATAACAGATGTTTGTTGAATACCCACACTGGTCTGTTCTTCGCTGTGTGTATGTCCTTAAAGATAAATGCACTTCAGTAGAACATTCTGTCTTCATGTCAAGGTGGTGTTTTACCAGGTGTAATTACTTGATGGTAATGGTAAGCTTTTACAGTGTATGGACTTCAGTTACAACATGCAGAAGGAGGCACAGAGAGGACACACAGAAAAACTGAAATGTGTATGACTGAGACTGGTCCCGGGAGAATTACCTCAGTATTGTTGCCTAGCCACCAGAAGTAAGTCACAGTACGTGAGTGGCTGGGTAAGACCACTGCTGTGATGTTCACCTCCTTGTTCTTTATGACCACGAAGGGAGCGAGAAGCTGGACATGCTCCACTGGACCTAAGAAAGAAACACCACAGAGGAGCTCATATTATGCCTGGCTTCTTCTAATGAGGCACTCTTGAGAGTGTGCTTTTCATTCAAATTAAAAAAAAGGCCGAAAGGCAAGATCACAAATCCTATCAGTAAGTACATCGGGTGTGAAGCTTGTTTCACGGAGGGAAATATTCCAAACACCATCATGTTTACATGACAGTTTAGTGTGCTGAGGTTTTTTCTTGCGGTCCAAAGACCTGCACCTCAGGTTAAATGATAAATAGTCCAAAGGTGTGAGTGTGACTGTGCTTGTCTGTGTGATAAACTGCAGACCTGTCCCTCGGTTCTTGCATCTCGTCTAGTGCATTCTGGAATAGGATTCAGACCCTATACAATGAACAGAATAAGTACATAAGAAAATGTAAAATCTGTCACACTGACATCATTTTCAGTCGACTCTGAAGCCATGATAGCATTCATTAGGATCGAAGAGGTCTCATTTCTTTGAGTTGACTTAATACAACCTGTACGGCTATGTCAATCTCATCCACACATCTCCCCAGTACTGTCGGCCCTTTTCTATACGTTCTCATGCTAGTTATCTAACTAGCTCTTCAAAAAGATGAGGTTGACACACTTATTTCCACCAAAGTCGAATGTTTCTCCAAATAGCCATCAGTGGCCACAAAACCAGACATATATGCACATTTCATTATGTTAAATTGATAATCAGCTATTTTGCATCCTACCATCACTACACCGCAAAGTATGTATATATTGTACACTGTATGTTCACTGGAATATTTGAACGAATGAGATGTGGGTAACTAAGAGGCCTGAAACCAGGCTACACACACTCTTTTTGTGCTTTAAGTCTTTGTTGAGTTTTTCAATTCTGGCCGTGGCCATGATCTTTCCCTTTCGTGCGTTGAGTTGCTGAGTGAAAAACATGAACATGATAATCTTTCTTTAGCAGAATGGGCATTTTACTCTTTTTTGACATTTTCCAAGCAGATAAAAAATGGAAAACAACTTAAAGATGGTTGTCAGAGAATGTTTTGCAAATTGAATTGAATTCAACTAAATTTTATCTATATTGTCCAGTATCACAAATCACAATTTGCCTCAGTGGGCTTCACAACATAGGAGATGTCCTGCTCATGGATCTTCAGAGTGGACAAAGAAAAACCTTCCCTGAAAAAAACCTTTAACTTTATACATTAGGTTGAAACATTTTGATCCTTTGCTCATTGTTCAGCGAAGGCCCAGTGTGCAGGATTTAGGGGGATGCATATCAGTAGTGGCTGGTGTAATTTTCTCCGGGGGGGGGCTATACCAAACTCAAACCAAACAGCATGTAATTGTGATGTCTGACTGATCAGGTCCAAGCTCTTTCACTTTGAGCTTCTCCTGCAATGTGCTCCTCTCAAATGGTGTTGTTTTTAAAGACTTCACCGTATTTGCTTTCTCCATCTCCATCTTGTTCTCCGTCGCCAACTCCCACTCAAACTCAAACCTGTCACTCTGCACTTTATGACAGACGGCTGTGACGCCATCCCACTGGCTATTGGATGGGACGTAAATCAGCTGCATTCAGCTTTGGGCACAGGAGAACTGTGCCCCAACAGCTCCTATCACTTGTACTGAAGAAGAACGAACTGCGCATATACATCTTACGAGAGTCTATGGGCAAAGATTCTTGCGCCCCAGAGAGGAAACACATGACCAATTAGTAACTTTAGACAACGTAGAACATTTTTAATCTACATTTTTATTGCAGATGATACATGTTACTCACTAACTATATCATATTTATCTTGCTCATCTGAAATTTTTTTATGCAGAGTATTTTTATTTTACTTTTCAAATGTGGGGAGTGGTGGGGTGGCACCCTAGTGCCCTCTATTGACCAGCCGCCACTGATGTATTGGCAGAAATGGAATATAATATAATATGTATGTTTTCTTTCTGTCTATATTAACCTTAAGAAAATTATGAGACGTTTATATCTACATACGGAGCAGGTCCTCGTCCACGGAGACCGCCATGTTTCTACAGTAGCCCAGAACCGACAAATTAAACCCTGCCTTTAGATAGCGCTATTTGCATTTTCGCATCAGCCATTGTAGTTAACAGCCCACCTGGGATGTGAAATAGCTTTATTCAGTGTTTTTACTGGTTTAAATCACTGGGTCTGTTTTTTTTCATAGAGGAAGGGTCCTCTGAGATAATTCAGCTACCGGTAAAAACGTCCTAAACGTCTGGATCTTAAGTTATCAGAGAAAAAAAATGAGCACACATCAGCAGGTGCTGGGCTAGTGGCCTGTCTGCCATGAGCCAAACACCATTGGAGAAACACTGATTTGTAATGTGAAACTACTTTATTCTGTGTTTTCAATTGTTTTAATCACCTGGTCTGCTTGTTTTGGAGAGTTGGAGACCTCTGCAGATAATTTGGCTCCCTGTAAAAAACCTCCTGAACAATTCCAACTGGGAGAAGTTTCAGTTGGTTGCAATCTGCAATCGTCACCACTAGATTCAACCAAATCCCCCTAAATCTTACACACTACTCCTTTAAATTCCATCATTACGTTAACAAAAAAATTCCACTTGGGCAGTGTCATTTCTCTTTGACAGCTTGTTTCCTGTTGCAGTTTAGTAATATATACGTAGGTATCACTTTTTGTAGACATGATAGACATTCCAGTCTATCCTGACAATTTTTGCTAACACTTTTGATTTATGGGTTTGCCAAACAGCAAACTCACCCTCTGGAACTGATCACTAAAAAGTTGTCTAGAGTAATTTAATTTGACAGACAATCAAATGATTTTCTGACAAGGTCTGACAGTATAAAGTGGTGAAAGCAAAACATTCTCTTACACTTAAAGGTCCTTGTAGCTCTGTAACCATAGTGAAAAAAGTCTAACACTAAAAATATGTTGACGCCATCATGTATTTTTGACATGATATCTCCTGGATAATGCTGCAAACCTCCCCACTAAGAACCTAATAGGACCCGACAGGGGTCCAGGTTGCTTTACACTAATCTCAGGGATGAAGTTCCCCGCTGCGGACAGATGTAATACACTACTTTTGTGGAAATACTCCAACGAAAGGTTTGTGTAGTGCTGCGGTCTGGGGTGTTCGTCTTGCCAAGGCTTCTGTTAGCTCTCATCCTCTTTAACCAGAACTAATCTTTATCCCCACTTTGAGATGCTCAGTGTTTGTGTGTGTGTGTGTGTGTGTGTGTGTGTGTGAATGAGAGAAGGAAAGGAAGTCATTTGGTATTAAACATGCTCCGCCGAGAAATCATTGTAGTAGTTTTTGGCATTTCCCAAGCTAAATTTATTGCCGTCAAAAAATGTATAAATTCAGAACATACTGGCTGACACATCAGGATGGCAAAAGGTTAAATTAATATGGACTGAACGAATCAATGAAAGAGCAACTAACAAGACAAAAAGAGGATTTAACACACACTGAGAGGAGCTTGTATAAATCCCTTGGAAACTCTAAATGATATTTTGTATCATTTTAAGTTTCTGTTATTGCCATCTGAATAGAGCTGGAAAGCATGACGATCCTATAATTTGTTATGTGTGCTGTTGTGCAAAATCTGCTCCACTTTAAAACAAGCCATTGTTCTAGTGTTGCATCCTCAGATAACTGGCAATTAGTTGCAGCGGCCTTAGGCCTTACAGGCTTACTTCTCAGTCTCTGCCCACAGTAAAACCTTGCATAAGCAAGTCTGTTGTGACCTTTCTCCCGAAAGTTGTTTGTGTTTATCACAGCTGCTGTATTACATAATCCTATGTATAGGTCAGTGCAGTTCACCTCAGAAGCGTTTAGCATGGATCTACAGTGTTGCATGTTATATGCATATCGTTGTAGATTGCGAAAAGAACGCATGAAAACAACTCATCGTGGCTTTAAAGGTCCAGTGTGTAGGACTTATGGGCATATATTGGCAGAAATAATATAATATCCATAACTCCGTTTACATAAGTGTATATTCACCAGAAAATAAGAACCATTGTGATTTTGTTACCTTAATTAGCTGTATATATTTACATGATTAGCAGAGTCCACCTTGCTGTTTCTACAATAGGTCAGAATGGACGAACCAATCACTGGCTCTAGATAGGGCCATTCACATTTTCACACCGTAGTTCTCCTATACTTTCGGCACACAGGAGAAGTTTCAGTTGGATTGCAATCTGCAACTTTACCACTAGATGCCACTAAATCCTACACACTAGACTTTTATGTTCAATGTTTGTCTCTCATGAACCATCTCTCTTCTAGGCTTTCAGAATGATATCAGACCGTATGTATCAAATCCTGATCGTCAAATGATTCCTATGCAAGGGTTGTGAAGCACAAAATATCAGCGGATTTACAGGCGTCTCTTTAGTAATGTAAGTCTATGGGAAAAGTCTTTAAGGGCCCTGTGACATCATGTGACAGACCCAGAAGCTGTAGTTAAGTGGCTTGGCCATTATGAAAATTGGCTTCAAAGCCTGGTACACTTCCTGGAGGTCTGGTAAGGATGAGCACCCGCAGCCTGTATGTAGCCTGAGAGGCAATACCTAGGGCAAAGCAGATGCTTCTACACCAGCTACTGCTCATTCAGTTCATTGATATAAGCTCTGGTAATAACTGACAATGACTCAGACAAATGTATTAACAATCTTGTCAACTTTTCTCTCATCTGACTTTTGTGGAAATTATAAATGTGAGTGGACAAAAGATAATGTTTCCCCAAAAAAGAACAAATTAATAAATAAAAAACATCAAAATAAACTTATCTTAAAAAGCATTGGAAATCAAAAGTGTTTGCACTTACATGTGACATGCAGGAAGAGTGTTGTGGTGTCATAACCCAGCGTGTTCTCTGCCAGAGCTGTGACACGGAATATTCCAGCAGACTTGTAGAGGTGTTTGATCCCCTCCTCAGTCCAGCTCAGGTTGGAGTAGGAAACAGCCGTCCCATCGCCGAAATCCAGCTGGATGTTGGTGCGCAAAGAGTCACCCTGAAACACATCACAGCAGGGCCTCATTCAGCTACTGCACGGATAAGCACAATGTACTCACTTTCCTTTTTCATATGACACCACCTTCGCCACCACTGAAAGGCCACCCACAGTCATCAGGTGGCTGCTTTGACAAGGGAACGCTGTGATACAGACAGGAAAACATGCAAAAGGCTGTCGGAAATGACAGTGTACTCCGTATAATAGATAACAGTGAGTGGTCTGATGATGCTGAAATGTGCCCAGAAATAAATCAAGCTTCCTGTCATATGTGAGTCACAAGCGCATACCCTCATCTCAAGATTTTTTTAGGTCATTCAAAAGACAAAGAATACCACAATAGTCAGATATAAAGGTGTGGCCTATAATTTCCTGAAAATGGGTCCAGCCTGAGTCACAAACGCTAGCTCCAACTCTAGGTGAATCTAGGTGCATCTGAAGAGGCTCATGGCAACAACACTCCACGAACTCCAAGAGCTCAAGTCATCTCCCTGTCCTCCAAATTCCCCAAATCCCAACCTGATGAGTATTTGTGAGATGTGTTGGTACCTCAGAAGTACCCCCTATCCACAGTGGGGCCTCCTTGGATCGATCTTTTATCAGACCTGTTGAGGTACTGACATGGGACCTCTTGTGGTGCCTGGCACCAGGATGTTAGAGATGGATTCCTTGAGTCCTGTGGGTTACCAACATCTATCATGGATGCTTGATCAAATTGGGATTTGGGAAATTCAGAGGACAGGTTGACACCTTGATCTCTTTTCCTAAACAGTTTTTGTGGTGTGGCATGGTGCATTGTCCTGCTAGGGGGGTCACTGCCATTGGGGAGTACCATTGCCATTAAAGGGTGTACTTGATCTGCAATAGTTTTTCAGAAGGTGAAGTGTGTCAAGCGGCATCCGAATAAAATCCAGGACCCAAGGTTTCCCAGCAGAACATTGTATTGTGACAAGATAATCAATGCTATTCACTTCAGTTCAATGACGCTGATTGGAGTATTTAAGAGGGCTTTAAAAAAGTACCTTAAGAAATTTGGAAACTTGTGATAGCTAGAATTTTAAAAAGTCATCCAATCGGAAGCCTTAATCCTGATTTTATTAACTGCTACCCTCCATATACTTTTCAAGGAGCACTCTAATAAACCATGTTCAAATCAAATCAAAACTTGACCTCAGCAAACCACTTTCCTTGAATTATGCTGATGTCTATTTGTCTTCATCTCGCCTCTCAAACAGCACAAACTTCAGAGCTGTGAATTGCTGCCTGGGAGTTTTTCAAATAAAGATCCAATCAACAATTTCCATTTTCTCAAACTGAGCCATATCTAATGAAGTACTCAAAACTAACTTGAGTAAAACATTTAAATAAGACTAAAGAGACAAAGCTTTCTGGGTGTTTGCACAGACTAGAAGCTATTTCAGGAATAGTCACCAACCGCCCACATTCAGTCACCAAAACCAAACTTTCCACACTAAAATGTTTCAAGTTAAATTTCACTCTTATAAAAGCTAACCACAACTTTTTGCATAATAGAAAGCTAAAAAAACTGTTTTGAAGTTTGTCACACTACAAAATCAGTCACTGTGGGTTACAATCATCAGAGCAAAACTCCCGAAGCTCTTGGTGAGATTGATTAAGAGAGGACAATTAATTTTACCAAATACCGTTCACAACTTAGATCTACTGGACCACTGTAACTTGTACCGATTCATTGCAGGTGAATGTAACAAACAGAAGGACATAACACCAAGGAAAGGAAAAATCTGCCCCTTTACGCTAACCTGACAGTGATAGACCACTCAGCTGTGACTCAGAATTAGATGGGTGGTGAAAGTCACAGTTGAAAAACCAAAAATGAGAGCCATCGCTGCATCTGTAATTGCATAAAATACACTTCATACCCATCATGTGTACTATCATTCTTTAATACATTACTGCTGCATTATCAGTATGTTATCAATGTGTGAATTTAAAAGAAAAAGCCAAGCAAGATCCAAATATAATAGCAGAATGAAGCCCCTATAGTAAAAGCAAGCCAGGAGAAGGAGGGGGCAGCTTCGAGAACAGAGACCAGGGCCCACTGGCAGGCTAATAGACACAATAGTACATGCAAGGCCTGGGGAATACACACACCTCGAGGCCAGTCCAAGCGCATGTAACATACATACCAACTCAGTTCTGGAGATACCTGAAGGGAGGGGGTAAGATAAGGGAATACGAAAATGCTGAGGCTGACATTTTTGAGATAAACAACTTGCCGAACCAGTTTTAACTGGTTTGAGGGGGGTTTCCAGGGGTCTTTCAGAGGTCAACTGACATAGAAGTGATGTTGTGACGTATATGAATTAGAAAAAATAAGAGTAGTTCTACACATATGATTGGTTAAAAACATGAGAGAGTGAGCAAGAGAAAGAGAGAGAGAGACCGGGTATTAAGGTCAGTGCCCAAGCCTTTTGGATTCAGTTCTTGGTCAGGACCACCAACTCAAATAGGTTTATTTGGATGTCAACTCCAACGTTAAATCAGTCCTACTATATGGGGCAGAAGCATGGAGAACTTCAAAAGCATCATCAAACAAGCTCCAAACATTCATGAACAGATACTTACGACACATCCTGGGAATGTACTGGCCTAACACCATCGCAAACTCTGAGCTAGCAGCAAGAACCACACAACAAGAACAAATTGAAACCCAACTCAAATGCAGGAAATGGGGCTGGATCGGGCACACCTTGAAAAAACCATCCTCCAACACAACCAGACAGGCCTTAACCTGGAACCCTTAAGGTAAAAGAAAACCGGGAAGACCAAGAAACAGCTGGAAAAGGTCTGTCGAGGCGGAACTCAAAAGGAAAGGAAGCAGAGAAGATCGCCCAACACCGAACCAGCTGGAGGAAGTTCATGAATGACCTATGCTCCCCAAAGAGCAAAAGGGTTTAAGTCAAAGTAAGTCATCTCTGAACAAAGAATAAACCTTCTTGCACTGGACTTCTGATCGGCCTCCTGGTTTCTCTTCAGAGTGCTCTGAACTTTCTTTGGTTTTATTGGAAGCAAGTTTTACTGAATCTTGACCAACATCACAGACAATTTTTTGGTTCGAGGGCAACAAATTATCCACAACAAGCTCTGACAGCAATTTAATAATAACTTTAATAAATATATCACGCCTGTTGTCTACGTTTTGCATCTTGGGATATTTAAAGTGTTAAGTGATTGCATACTGCAATATTTTAACGGAAATACACACTATTGGTTTCATACTAAGGTTTCAGACAGACTAAAATATCTCACGTACTGTTTAAGCATACTAAAAGCACGCTCATATGGAATACTCAGTGCAGCCCATGTCTTAGAAGTACACTGCATATAGTCTACAACTCCATACATGGTTAACACAACATTAACCTTGGTAACACTTGTAACATGTAAGAAGTGAATAAATGCACTATTCTACTGGGTCAGTATGATTTTTCTTCATTTAAATGATAGACTGGCACTTACTTGCTCTTTGCAAATGTATGTTCATTTTCATCAAAGTTTATAGTTGCACTATATAATTATGGCATTTACATATAATTACATAGTTAGGTAATTATAGTTGCTCTTTCAATTTCAGACTGAGGGTGCTTACATCTCCGATAGGCTGGATTCATATTTTTTTTTTTTCCAACTCGTTTAGCCAAGAACAATCTGCTTCATAAAACAGCCACTGATGGTCTTTGTTTTGCAAATTTAGCAAATACTAATTTCCAAAGAAACGGTTTGGTAAACATGAATAAATTGCTGTTTTCTTAATACTTAATATCATTAGTGGTAAGATTAGGAGTGTACATACAGTGTATAAATGTGTGTCACATGTGCATCTGTGCATATGCACCCCACCATGTTTGACTTTGCATGGTGTGTGCGAGTCTTCATCTGCCTGCACGGATTCCTCTGGGAATTACATCTGGCACTATCTGAAGATCAGCACACAGCGTGAGTGTTGGTGGCTCCAGCTGCCACAGCAACCGAATCTGTGCGCTTCCCCTCAGGCCTGCGAAGGCAAACTCCCAGCCTCCCCTTGGCACATTGTAGCGCAATGCTACTGGGATCTACATTTGTAACACGGCATTTGCATTCCAGCTTGGCCAAAACGCACACAGAAACAAAACAAATACAGCCATTGTTCGTTTTCTCTTTCCTGCTCTTTTGCTCTTTCCATCCCTCGCTACCTGAGTCCCTTCTTTGTGTGCCTTCGAGTGTGAAATCACAGGAGATTTGGTTGATGCTTTTGGGTATATTTCACGTCACCTTGCCTGGAAAATGATATCTGTGATAAGTGGCTGGAGAGAATGGAGAACAGCTAAGAACAGGGCCTTACAGTGTGGGCATTGTTTAGAGCTGTAATGAGCTGGCACACTAAAAAGACTCGGACTTGGTGGCGCCAATGTCACTCAGCTCTTCCCTGTGTCTGCTATCCATTCTGTGTTCACGCTTGCTCTCTATATCAGCCACAATGGGATTCACTTATCTGCATGAGACTGATGCTGACCCGCCTCTCTAAATGTCACTCTTTGTGTGCGTGTGTCTCCCAGGCCCGAGCAGATCCAAACATACGATGGCTGGAGCCTCGAGGCTGGGACTCGGTGTTGGTTCGCAATGAAAGCACTGTTGTACAGGTTGACAGGGGTTTGGCTACACGGGGCCAGCATTTGTTCAGGTGTGTGTCAAACCTGAAACCGCAGTGTCGGCCTGATGGGTGACAACAAAAGACACCACAGCTGTGAGTACTTCTGGAAAGTTTGGGGTATTTCCACAGTGGACAGAGCAGTGTGAGGTTTATCTGCAGTGAGGGTAAATGTATGCCATGTAATACTTTATCAACTGTAAGATTAGAAACGTGCTATTTTCCTGACATCATAAGAAGTACCACAAGTGAAAAAAGAAAACTTCTAACGACATCTGTGAAATAGAATAAAATTACTTTGGCTAACATGCCTTTATTTAAAGCTGCATGA